CTCGCTCTTGTTCAGGCTGGTCTTGAACTCCTGACCTTGAGCGATCCACCCACCTCGGCCTCCCAGAGTGCTAGGATTACAGGCGTGAACCACTGCGCCCCGCCAACAATTCTATTTCTGATAATGAAGCTTCTGACAATAAAACGTGCTGCTGGCTGCATCCTCTTCTCCAATGACGTATTTCTGTGTGCCTTATCTGGCGCAAGTTTATTAAATCAACATCTGTGTCTGCTGTGTACAAAGCACTGTGTACTGTGTGTGGGTGGGAGGTGGTAAAAGACGTATCATACGGGATCTTGTCATCAAGAAGGTTATATTTATATTAGGGTGCTAGTTCTCAACCAATGATGATTTTGCCCCTAGGGGACATTTGGCAATATCTGGAGATATATTTTTGATTGTCATGATTTAGGGGCCAGCGCTTGCTACTGGCATGTAGTGGGTAGAGGCCAGGGATGCTGTAAATATCCTACAATGCACAGACAGCCCCTGTCACAAAGAACTATCTGGTCTAAAACGTCAATAGTGCTGTTGTTGAGAAACTTGTGTTACAGGTATAGGCCATGGGCAGAACTAATATGTCAGGGAGAACATGCTAGAACTGTGACTGCGGATGGGTGGGGTGTGATAAAAGGCCCATGTGGATTAATGGATATAAATTTACAGTTAGGTAGAAGAAATAAGACTTAGTGTTCTATCGAACAGTGGGGTGACTATAGCTAACAATAATCTATTGTGTATTTCAAAATAGCTAGAATAGAATAATTCCAATGTTCCTAGCATAAACATGATAATGGTTAAGGTGATGGATATCCCAATTACTCTGATTCGATTTTTAAATATATGAATGTATCAAAATATCGCATGTACCCTCAAAACATGGACATCTATTATGTATCAATAAAAAAGAAATTAAAAAATTATTCTAAAAAAAAAGACTCATTTGGTTGGGCTCAAACATGGATCTTTGATATTCTTGTTAAATGAGACTTACATACAATTATAGAGGTCTTAGGACAGGACTAACGCTTTACAGTGTTAAACTTGTGTTCTCAGCAGACCAAAGGCCTGTTGTGCTGTATGAACTAATATTTTTTAGCAACCTTGTAATCATTTTCATGGTATTTTTTTGTTTTAAGAGCATTGCTTTGTGAAGTGTAAACATTCAAAATATAGTACACTACAATTTTTGTGTTACTGCTTTGGCAACTTCTTATTTTTAAATATGCTCCAAAATAGAGATTTAAATATACCCCACCCGCCAAAATGGAAGAGGCCTGGAACTCACCATCTATAAGAGGCTCAGCGAATTTCAACAGAAATCGTGGTAAAAACAATAATATTCATAATAAACAATTGGCATTTATTGTACTTATATGTACTTAGCCACGCACTGTTCTAAATACCCTACTATCACCTTTTAAAATCCCTCCCAAAACTCTATCAGGACAGACCATTATTATTCCCATTTTACTGGAGAAGAAACTGAGGCACGGAGCAGTTAAGGATGTTGCTAAGGTCAGGCAGCTATTACACAGTAGGACCAGGCAGTCGGGCTTCAGAACTCTCTTATTTAGAGGAAAAATATATTTTAGGTGGCTTGCCTACATTC